TCTCTCATCCTCCCTCATGACTCGGATCGGGTGGCAGGTGGGAGAGACTAAGATTGAGACCATTAGAACATAGTAGAAAAAATTTTCAGATTGACTATATATATGTTTGATTACAGTAAAAATGTTGCATACTGCTTACCTAAAATAATAAAAATACCGACCAGGAAAGAAAAAAAGTAAATCTGATATGGCAACAGAAACAGGCTGCTCTTTCGCTCTTAATGATAACCTCCTCAAGTGGAAAATTTGGCATGCATTTGTTTCCTGCCCGAGGGCATAGTGCACCTGACTTCCTCTGTATCTTGCTCTCATGGTGTGGCTGAATTACTTTTCATCATGATCCCATGATCTACACTGAGGGAACTTTTACACTATAAAGATGCTGTTGTGCCAGACATTTGTTATGTGTGATCTTTGTGGAGAATGTTCTGGAGGGTCTCACTACTAAGAGTGGCTGAATCTTCTGCAAGTCACTCCATCCAGTGGCTGTTGTGAATTATGTAACTCACCAGTTCACCTTTTTTCATGCTGGCTCTAGAAAATTAAAGGCCAGTGTGTGACCCATTCATAGGGTTTTGATAGCATGGGTATTTTAACCCGATTCCTTATTTTGTTTCCCTTTCTTCTTTTTAGTTTTTACTTTTCATTTTTATTCAATTACACCTTGGTTTTTAAATGTCCTTATGAGCCTTTCTGAGATGAGGTAGAGGTATAAACAAGCAAACAAATACAATATCTACAGCTGTTTCAACAGTAATACAAACATTTGGAATAAAGAAACTCAAGTGTTGGGTCTGAATTTGAAATTGGAGGAATACCCTGGGGTATAGAATAGGGTATAGAATACCCTGGGGTATAGAAAAGGGGGTCATCTTTGGTGACACAAAATTTAGCATTTCAGAACCAGGTAAACCTGTCTCGATCTCTTTCTAATAGTGGCAAATAAATAACCAGATTGACTGTGTCAAATCATGACTTTCTGTTCATGTTCAATCTGGTACCTTCATTCATTCATGCTTTTTTCCAAATAGTAATTTTTGAGTAATGTGTGAGTATTGAGAAAGGTCTTACAGAGGATAAAAAAATGCAAAATATGGGCTCTGTTCTCTTGATATAACATATTTGTTAGGGCCCACAGTCACCTTAAAGCATTACCTATAGTATGATGGTTTTCATTATTTATATTCATCATAATTAGAAATAGACTTATACTTAAAAAAGAATAGTCATGTGAAGACCTTTCAATTGGAAATTGGAGAAAACTATGTTAGATTTATTTGTTCAAATAATCTATTCATATGTAACACTTACTGAGTGCTTATTATGTGTCAAGTATTATTCCAGGTTTACATGTTTTGACTCATTTAATCCTGACAATTGCACCATGAAATAGACACCAATCCTGACCCCATTTACAGTTGAGGAAATGGAGACACCAAGGGGTATAACCTATGCTCCCAGGCTACAAACTTGTACAGCATGTGAATGTTCTGGATACTGCAAGCAATTGTAACATGATGATGATAAGTATTTGTGTATCTAAACACATCTACACATAGAAAAGGTACAGTAAAAATATAGTATAAAGGATAAAAAATAGTACACTTGGATAGGACACTTACCATGAATGGAGCTTGCAGCACTGGAAGTTGAATGTGAAGGCTTAGGACAGACATTACTGTGCACTACTGTAGACTTTATAAATTCTGTATGATTAGACTACACTAAATTAATGTTTAAAATAGAGTGATTATGCTACCATAACATTACGATGGCTATGATGTTACCAGGGGATAGGACTTTTTCAGCTTCATTATAATCTAATGGGACCACCATCACATACTGTTGGTGATCCATTGTTGACCAAAACATCCATAATGGGGTACATGACTGTACTAGCATGACCTAAGCAGAAGGCTTGCAGTTAAATCGAATATGGGATAGCTTTCTCATTTGTGTTATTTAATGCCACGTAGTGATCTGCCTTAAACTGTCTTCAGTAGTATCAGAAGTAAACAGCTCACACTTGAGAACTGAATTCCTTCTGATGGTTCAAACAAGAATCCAGTTGTTTACAAATATGATCCCTGTCTGTCTAACAGAGATAGTGTGGATACGGAAGATACATTTTAACATTTACTGCTAGGTTATCATACATACATTAAGCCTTTGAAGACCTTTTCTGCTCGCTTTTCTTGTGTTATTTATTCCCATAGAGTGAAGAGGCTGCCCTTCAAAATGTGCTTCAGTGTTTCCAAATTGCGCTTATACTTGTGTTCTATGTAGTCCCCATAAAATCCCAAAAATAGTCGGAGGAGGCATCACTGGCCTTATATTACAGAGGAAGAAACTGCAACTAAGAGTATTAAGTGATTTATTTGCCCATAGTTCATTACATGGTTCATAAATGTACTCTGAGCTATTCATCTCATTCGGTACCTAAAGAACTTTGACATGAAACCTGGATATGTTTCTGCAATATATCTTAAGTATCTGTTCAGTGAACCAAGAAACAGCTTCCTCAATCAAGGAAACGGACTGGTTTAATGTTGGCTGGGTGGTTTGTTTCCATTTAGTTTGTTGCCCTCAATTCTCGTAAGTTGCTGTAAGCAAACGTATTTTTTGCTAAATGTAATTAATAGCATGAATCTGGGTGTCTGGGATCACCCTGGGGTATCGAAAAGGGGGTCATCTTTGGTGACAGAAAATTTAGCATTTCAGAACCAGGTAAACCTGTCTCCATCTCTTTCTAATAGTGGCATAAGCAAATCCACTGGATATTGATAAAAAAATAAACAAATATTCAATTTCTACCTTTTAGTAAAATTACCAATATTTTAATCCAATGACTTTATTATCTG